ACCCCTCCCCCCTGCGCCACGCTGTCGGGTAGAAACGACCCTGGTTCGTTTAAAACATTGCCGAATACAACCCTTGCTTTTTCTCGAATACTATTAGGGTGTCTACGTGTTAGTCTAAGAAGAACATGCCAAGTGGACAAAGGATTTCAAAAAAATAAAGATATCTGCCGCAAGGGTATCAAATTCAATGAATGGCTCTTAAAGATAACTGGATTGTCCTAACTAATTGGACAATGGGTGCAATCTGCAGCTAAAAGAGGAGGCTTTCCTATGAATTTTGGTTTGCAACCATAAAAAATCATGTCATGTAGCTCTAAATGGGCTAGTTGTCGAATAAACACGTTTTACTTTTACCTGATTTTGAGGTTAAAAAAAGTCTAACCCCACACCAATTCGATGGTTGCCAGTAAACTTTGCCATAACTTTCAGGAATCAGTCAGGGTGGGAATGGCTCCTCCTATAGTTTGAGTCATATGTCACTGCGATTGCTCTATCCTCGTGAAAATTGATGGTAGACCAATGTGCCCCGGGGTCAAATGCGCCCCAATCTCCCCTACGTACATGTGTCTTGCAAACGGTCGATCGCTTTTAACGAATTCATGGACAAAAATCATGGCTTCGTAACTTATTACAGCGTTCACTCAAGGGAGCAGCTCCTATTTTAACTTCCCTAGCAGAATTAATGATAATAAAATATGCATAATTAAAGGTAAACTAGGTAGATGTACGCCAGACCACGTCTCGCGTAACAGGCTTCGCGATATCTCACGAAACACTGTTACGCTGCGACGCGCCTGGCATACATCTACCTAGGCCTGCGGCGCTGACACTCGAGTCGGGCAAAAGAAAGAGTCGTAAATAGGCCTTCGGCCCCAAAAGTCACAATTATTGCTCCTCAGGGTTTTATTTTGACGAGTTGACCCTTCAGAGACCATGAAATATTTGAGAAAAAACATTGAAATGGTTTGGGGTCATTTCCGTGTGAAAAACAGTGTCTGGCGCCTCAACGGTTAGAGATAGAGCCAAACGGACGAAATTTTCGGCCTAAGGGCCCTACTTTGATGAGTTACCCCTTAGGAAACATTAAAAAAATGTTTTTAAAAAACATCATTTTGGGGACCTGTGGTTTTTGATTTTTTTAAAATCCATTTTTTGAGCTAGAATGCTCTACTACGAACTTGATCTGTCTTTTTATGATACAAAACGACCCTAAAATTCCCAGGTCGCTAGCTCAATTTGTTCTCGAGTTATCGTGATGACAGACGGACAGACAGACAGACACACACACACACACAGACACACAGACAGACAGACGCGAAACTTTTTGATCACTGGAGTAATAGGCTTCGCTAATCGCTCAGCCAACTAAAAGTATCGAACACTAAGGCGTAAGTCCAAAAAAAAGCATCTTTTTTGTTTGAAGGTATTTCAGCGCAAAAACTATATATTATGAAACTGGACCGAAGAAAAAAATCGACATATTATTTCTGGACTTACACCCTTCTGCCAGATCACCACTGTAGTGGTGAGGACACAAAAGTCGCACCTTGAATAGGGCTCTAGTAAGTTGTGCACAAACCATTTCACCCCGGTAGAGCATTGTCATTATTTTTGTTCTGAACGTGATCCAAAAATTCCCTGTTAATCTCCAAAAATTGGTTTCCAAACCTTACGAGACTATCGAGAGTGAATCTAATCCCCCCACATCCCATGGCGCTATAGCTACATTCAAGCGAGATCACAGTGCGATGATGCTACCAAATTTTTGACACCGCGTCGCACGCTTGTCGAAGGTTACTCATATATCGGAATGAAGCTTTCCCATCAGCTGCACGCGATCACCGATGAGAGTGCGAAGTGGTGGAGATGGGCCAGCACTGTAAAAAAAATTCTGAAAATTCAGTAGATGTTTTTCAGAATCGGCACTCTGAATTTTGTTTGTTTTCAGACCATAACTCAAAATTTTCAAAGTTTAGACTGAAAATCCAGCCTTTTTACTCTGAATCAGGTTTTCAGAGCAATTTGTCCGAAAATTTTCAGTATATTTTCAGACTATACACTGAATCTGTAATTCAGAGTTACCGGTATGAATTTCGAGTGGGAAGTCCACCGGGCAGGTGGGCGAAGCACACCAGTAGCCGACGCTGTTCCCCACGCAGGTAGCCGGCAGCCGAATGGTTAAGGTTGCGGCTTCCGAACCTGAAGGCTGGCGGTTTGATCCCAACCAAGGGCAGTACCGAATGGACAGATATGTCTTCACCTGGGCATAGCCCTCTACCCCCACAACTGTTAAGTCGTTCGCTACGTGTTCATTTTCAACGTTTGCAAAAATATTTTTATACCGGCTGTCTGAATTTTCAGACTAAGTGGTAAACTTCAGACTTAAAGTACTGAAAATTCAGTAAAACTTTTTTTACAGTGAGGGGAGAAACAGGGGTCCGTAACTCAACATTACAAACATGATTGGTTCGTTAAATAATATTTAAACAAAATCGCAAATAAAATTTTAAGTTAATTTAGGAAACGTAACCTATTAGTACTTTGTTATTCTCTCATCTTACTTTCGAAAATTACAGATGTTACCAAATTCCTTCAACGTTAAAAGCGACTTTCGTTAATTTAGTGACAGACAAATATCACACAGGCCGAGCACAAAAAAATGCGTAGCACTTCAACACTTTTATCAAACTAATTTTTGTTAAATCCATAACGGTTATCTTTTTTTAAGTTATATATTATTTTTGTACATGGTAAGTGTCATGGTAGGCGTTATCGGTTCTCGGGTTTAGCATTAACGATTAACAAAATGTTATGAGGTGTTAAAGTTACGGACCCCTAGAAATCGAGGAGGGGCTGGCAGACTGGCAGCTTTCCAATTGAAAAGTCAACTTCATCTTTGGTTATTTCCCCTCTTTTTCGTGGCTTTGGCGGAGTAACTCGTAGGTACTTGGCCTAGAGTGCACCCTTTGAGTAATTCCTTGCTTACTCATCACGCCACGTCACGCCAGTAAATTCAGGCAGGTCAGCCTGACCAAAAACCTTGGGGGACACTCGTTCCTCGTTTTAACAAAATGAGTAAATGGCTAGTTTGGCTAAAAAAAACATAATTTTCGGAGGGGGAAAAAAGTGCATGCAGAGGCACTGGAAGGTTTTGACCTTTTCCTAAAACAAATATGAACATCCCGGTCCAAAATTGTATGGACCTTTGTAATCACGTTGGACTTTGGGGAGGGATACGGTGTGGTCACTAGTCCATTCCTACGTACCTGTGTGTGTCACGATTTCGGTTCTGTTTTTCCGTACGCCACTTGCAGTGCTGAGAGCAGAATGTACCGTACCGGGCGGTAGAGCCTGGTCCGCGCATTGGACCTGTCCAGTCCGCACATTAACTTGCCTATCGCTCGCGCACAACTCGACCATGGATGCTCTGTAAACTGAAGTGTGCACTCGAATGCAGTACCACCTGCATAGTACCTGCTGCATACATGTAGGTATACAGGAGGTACTGCATTCAAGCACACACTTGGGTTTCCAGAGTGTAACCCCACGGGGGCCACCACTCGAGTAATCCTGTGTAAGGGAGGGTGGGGTCCCATGATACACT